TCAGGCGACGCTACTCGACGCAAACGCACTGATCACGGCCCCGACTAGCAGCAGACCGGCTGCTTGGACACAGCGCGCAATCGGCATCCAGCCACCGAACGTCGAAACAGCATAGGCCACCGGCCAGCCGGCCAGCAGAGCGCCCAGCTGAGCACTGAGGCCGCTTAGCCCCATAGCAGCACCTACAAGGTGCGGTGGCCACACGCTGACGGCTGCCAGTACTAGTAAGTTGTGTAGCCCTCCCAGGGTGAAGCCGAGCATGCCCATAACCAGGGGTAGGTGAGCAGCAGGCTCATCGTGACTACTGGCCATTAAGTCTACAATGTGATTAATGATCAACACAGCACCCAGACTGTAGGAAACTGTAACCATGGACATGGACCGGTGGTGATGCTGCTGCTGCTGCTTCTCCCGCTGAGAATACTGGGCATTGCCGTGGAGATCACGTCTCTCCTCGGACTGGCTTGTTTCGGCCTCTGCAGCAAACACCCGTCGCAGCAAGACAGGTACGCCTGCTGCCAGCACTCCGCTGCTCAGTGTACCAAGCATCACACCGACGTCAAGCCAGCCCAGGCCGGCCTGCGATGACTTCTCATCCGCCATGCCAGTCTCCATCGCCAGCAGTACAAACCAGTCGATCAGCAGAATCTTAATGCCGTTCACTACCGTGATGGCTAGTAGGAAGTACACGAACCCTGGCGTGCGCACAAAGAACGATACACGTTGGACGAAACCGTAATTTTGTATTTCCGATCTGACCTCACGTGGCTTTGCACCACTTTGGTTACCACTACTGTCATTGGCTGCACTCTCGCCACCATTCCTGTGTGTGCTTGCTCTAAGGTGTCCAAATTGTCGGAAGGCCAAAAGCCCTGCGAGAATTGATACCATGCCGGGCAGGACGAATGAGAATCTTGCCTGCTCGCGTTCCGTCATCTCCAGTTCCGTCGTGACCGCGGCGAATATCCAGGGGAACGTACCAGCTGCAAGACTGGCACATGCAGCATACACACTCATCCACGTACCTAGCCCACCACCTGCATCACACCCACTGCGCAGAAACTTGACCGTACTGGGCCAACCGGTGCTGACAAACGCGGCATCGCAGGCCCAAGGCACTACCATTAGCCAGAAGCTGTTTGAAAGGCCAACAAGGATGCAGCAGACACCCGATCCAATCCATGATATTCCCATCAACACGCGCGGATCGAACTCATCAATGAACAGTGTTATTCCGATCTTCGTTGTCGCTAGAGAGATGCGCCAGACACTTGAGAGAATGCCAATCTGCGAGCGACTCAGTGTGCCGCTAGAAAACAGTGGAGAGACGGCCAGAGCAAAGCTGCGCCTGCCCAAAATCTGCATGGAGTAGAGCAGTAAGCACAGCAGTTGAACTCTACAGGCTGCGACCGACTGCAGACGTTTCCCGAAGGCAGCAATCATCACGAAATTCAACGGGTTCAACCGTTGGACAGACCGTCCGGAGTGAGAAAGACTCGAATGATCCCCATAGACTGGAGGAAAACATCAGATTATGTTTTCCTCATTCCACTGCAGCCCACCGATACTTGCGGCAAAAATCGACAACGAAGCAAACTCCTTGGGTACAGCTAGCTCGATCCGTCCACTTCCGAGAAGCGCTGAATGATAGTTGAAAGACTATCTGTAAATATCTGTGTGTCTTATAGAAGCAGGGAGGTTCTTACCCATCACCGCCGTCGTTTTCCTTGCCATGATGATATGGACCAACTTCTTGCCGAGTTGAGCTACTGGAGCTTGTTGGCCGACCGGACTGAAAACTGAAAGTTGTTTGGCCATTCATTGCATCACGCTTACCTAGGCTACACTTGAGCTTGTTGAAGCTCAAACCAGTTACCATTACCTGATTGACGGCCGCGGGAAGACAGTCTCGTGAACTACGTGCTCCCCCGAAAAAAGTAAACTGTCACTTTTGTCGACGACTCGACACGGCCACGGTTACCACGGTTACAGACTCAGTATGCTCTCCGTGAAGCAGGCTGAAGGAGCATTCGAAAAAATAATAAGTTCCGCCTAGTCTTGGTGAATGAGCATGATTGTACAATTATGTGGGTTTGCAGTCATCCGTCGGCAGCATTCTGATGGAGAGGATTTCTTATCGTGTAGATTCTACACAAGGCGTGTGTACGTGTGTGCGTGTGTGCACGTGTTGTGTATGTGTGCGTGTGCGTGTTTGTTTGACTGAATGTTGTTCATACACATGATACAGCTGTAGCTGTTTACGTGAGTACTGAACTTAAAAAGTTGTCTTGGAACCATGTAGATCTACTCATTATACAACAGCAGTGTCAGCACGGCCTTACATGTAGATCTACATGCATTACACACCCAACACAAGGCAACAATACCAGTTTGGATAATACTCTTCTCCTAAATATTTGTAAAAGAACTCTGTCCAGCTGATGCAGGGCAGAGAATACAATTGAGGCAAAAGAAAATGACAATAATTATTCATCATGCAGCCAGGGCCACATAGCTCGTGCGCATGTTTGTACGAACCAGCGTGTGTGAGAAAGTTTTTAGAAAGGATAATGTTTCCTGATGATGATATTAACATAGTAATATAATTAAATTGTGCAGCTTACTGTGGGCCAGCCAAACAGAAACTCAGGTGCATGGAAAAGTGTAAAGCGGAACATAACAGGAAGTATAGAGTTATTAGCAAAGTAATTGAGCTGTTCTGCCACGATAAGTTCAGGGAGTAGGAGAGAGAGAGCGAGAGAGAGAGAGAGAGAGAGAGAGAGAGAGAGAGAGAGAGAGAGAGAGAGAGAGAGAGAGAGAGAGAGAGAGAGAGAGAGAGAGAGAGAGAGAGAGAGAGAGAGAGAGAGAGAGAGAGAGAGAGAGAGAGAGAGAGAGAGAGAGAGAGAGAGAGAGAGAGAGAGAGAGAGAGAGAGAGAGAGAGAGCATGCATATGGCAAAGACATTAACGGCGTTTGTAAGTCATGCCCTGCTACTTTATTATTTGGCCAAATAGAGGAAGCTAGAAGACATACGCAGCACGCATCTGCCACGAGGCCATGTCTCCATAGTGCGCATATGTATTGTTGTTGTGCTTGATGGACGTCATGTTGCCGTCAAAGGGGAGCAGAACAGGTGGCTCCAGACCGTCTTCTTCCAAGCCCCACAGGCACGGCGGTAGCAGCAGGTAGCCCTTCTCATCAAATTTGTTCTCTGGACTGCCCTCGCCATAGACGGGCAAGTGTCGGCACAGCAGGAGACCAGTATCGGCGTTGTACAGCTCCATGGAAAGGCAGCTCGGTGCGTGACAATGGCCGCCGGCGTAGATGAGCTCAACGCCCTTGGCACCCGCCGTGGGACGGATCATGTCCTTGACTTGAAAGTGTGCTGTGATCTGATGCACGGCCGCATCGGCGGGCACACTGTCCTGCTTCTTAGGAATGTCGTACTCGGTCGCGTATGCCTCGGTCTGGTAGTAGGCGCGCGGCAGGTCCGTGTGCGATGGTCCGTTCTCGTTGTACTCCTGGTACCAGAAGCGGAACTTCAGGTAATACTCGTCGGTGATGTTTATCCATGGATTCTGCGCCTGGTCCAGCAGAATCCACTGATGATGGCAACAGTGCAAGCCACCTTGATAAGTCTGTACCCAGCAGGTCGGGTTCTTCTGCTGCACCAGATCACCGTACGGCTCATCGCGGCAGTTCTTCCTGAAACCAATCCCATTGATAGATCCACTAGTTCCAGCGTTGCAGATGCATGATGCGCCGTTCTCTGCCGTGACGGCCAGCTTGGAGCTGCCCTTGAAGCGGTGATAGGCAAAGGCGGACGTGTTTCCCACGGCACTGATGAATGGCATGGTGGGTAGTGTGAATGGATTGAACGTGAAGTGATCCTTGCTTGCTCCGGCGAGAGGTCGCGTCATGACCACAGTACGCACGCCGTTCACCACCGCGTTGGAGACAACGGTGACGCTGTCGGCCAGCTGATTTCCTGGATCGTGATTGGCCAACTTCCGCTCCATGACACCGCCAGAGCCGTTGACGATGATGGCGTAGGGAAGGTCCTCCATGGCGACTGCATTGAAACCAACACCAAACCATACACCGTCCGGTCCAGTCATAGAGATCGTGGCCAGGCCAGGGCTGGTGGCGTTGAGTGCCAGCGACAGACTGACATTCGATATGGCTGATCCAGATCCGGAGAAGAGAGTACCGCCACCGCACTGCTGGCCTTGTTGGTTGGTGTTGAACACAACCATCACCTCGGTGGCGTTCTCCTTGGACTGTACGACAGAGCAGCCGGTCGGTAGATTCGGGTCCGACACCACCTTTTGCGCGGCACTGGATGGAACCTTCAGGGTCGCCGCTGCAGCAAAGCACTCGCTGGCGTTCAGCACAAATGTTTGGCACACACCTTTCTGAACGGTGGCATAGTTCGTTACAATCTTCTTCTGAATTCGATCGGTGCACGGACATTCCAGAAGGCCGCTGTACTCCGCATTGGCTGGTGCAGCGGAGTTTTTCGGCAATGGGCCGGCTACGAATGAGGATTTATTATGGTCACGGTTGTGCGTGTCAATCTGCATCGGTGAGATGTGGAATGTATCGGGAGAGTAGATTAGCTGGGCGTACCCTCTCGGGTAGCCATGGTAAGATTTGCGATATTCGCCGCCATTGCCCTCGCTGAACATTTGAGCGGTCGGTATGTTAGCCGGGGCTGCAGCCACCTCGTCATTCTCCACGTCCACGGCCATCCAGAAGCGCTCGTGATTGTAGGCTCCGTTCGCACCGGACGCACGGAACGTCTCCTCGTCGACCTCCTTGACCGTGGACTTGGCGCCCGTCATGTGTGCGATGTAATGGTGGTTGTATTGCCAGAAGATCGGCATTGACTCTTCTCCGCCGTCCGTCTTACGCACCTGATCAGCCTCGTATCCCACGATCGCCATGGTCTTTCCCTTGAACTTGGCTACGAGTTCCGCATCCAGCTCCACAGGGTCCATCATCGTCCAGAACACCTCGCCATAACGAGTGACAATGGGAGGTGTGTAGACATCGAAATAGGAAACGTTCTCTCTCTTGCTGTAGTCAGTGCTGTACTTGACCGTCGACGCCGGGTTGGGATTCGAGATCAAGTACAAACCGTTCATGTTTGCCAACACATCGTCCTTGCCCGCGCTAAAACTTCGGGACGACTCCGGGCGAGATAGCACCACGCCGGACAGGCTAACGACCAGCGCCAAGAGTTGAAGACACCTCATTTTCTTCGAGGTTTCGCGTACCACTCCACCACTCGTAGCACTTCTACTACTGCACTGCAAGGTAAAGGTAACAATGGGCACCGACCCCACTCAAACACAGCAGCTGCCAAGATATTTGGGAAACAATAATTCTTTGCCTCTGAAGCCGAATGGAGTGAAGGTGTGCCAAAGGTAAATAAAAGGCAAGGGCAAGGAGCGGCATGGCAATCATTATGTATCTAATATTGACTGAGTACGAGGTCAATATAGGAAATAAAAGCCGAGTAAAAGACCATGAAAGACCGAGGCGAAGCCGAGGTCTTTTACGAGGTCTTTTATTTCCTATGCTGACCAAGTACGAAGTCAATATTAGATTTATCACGACTGACCAAAGCATGTGTTCAATCGCTAAACAGGAGTCAAATATAAGCGGTCAATATAGCCCTAAGGAGTGAAATATGCAGGAATATTTGACTGCTTAGGTATGGCAAAAATCTATGTGAGTCAATACTAAGGGAGTGATAAGTATAATATTATAACAAGGAACCGAGTGTATATAGAGATATATACACCAGTATGAAAACCGAGGCGAAGCCGAGGTTTTTATAACTGGTGTATACATGTATATCTCGATATACACGAGGTTCCTTTGTTATAATATATTTATACCTCTCCATATTCACCGTGTGTGACCTCCTAATGGCTTGTTCCTCGCTGACAACTACTGCTAATTTCCCTTAGCGGTGTATATGGAGATATATACACCACTAAGGGAGAGCATGCCTAAGACTGTAAGTGTATATGGAGTGAGGTATAAACTTTGATATCAACTACGTCTACATTGACTACAGTCATGTAGACTGTCTGTAGTTTGTAGTAATGTAGTTGATATCGGTAGACATCAAGACTTTGTACTTGTAGTTGTAGTAATAGTAGTTAGTCTGGTTCAGTGGATGCGATGACAAGCATGGACAAGGTGTTGGATGATTCATGGTGCACAGGGACTACCGGAAATCTGTCGTGGACTGCTGCCGTGCTGGCCTGTAAAAACTAAAATTTAAAAGGCTGTATCCAGCCGAGTGATTTGCATCCGCCTTGCTGCAGCCCCCCCCCCCCCCCTGAATGTCAGTATCATCCAATTGTATGCTCCAACTACATCACACGATGATGTTGACACAGAGGCATTTTATGGCGATTTGGAGAAAGT